GGACTAAAACCTGGAATAAAGGGGCTAACATAGCTATATTTGTCTTATGTCCAGTTTTAAAATAATTACTTTAAGTAAAATTATATTTAAACAACCATTTGTTTAGTTAGAAATTCAATGGCCTATACCTAATTGGGTTAGCCTAGTTACTGACTGTTCTACTGTGATGACTGCTAATGGTGACTGCCTCCCTCCTTCTGTATTTTTGTTCTTATGACTCAGTGCAATTTAAAATATCTCTGAGCTTAATACAATTTCAGAAGCCAATTTCTAAAGCACAACAATCCCCTTAAAATAGAAGCTTTCATCAACATCCCTGCCCTACATGATATTGCTTTATACAGGCAGTAGATGAGTAGGATTCTGTGTCAGATCCCCTAGGGAAAAACTACAAAAGGAACCTGTAAAATTGTCTGTAAGTTGTTTTCCTAGTTCTCTCCTGTTTTTAACACATTTTGCCACAGCTGAATTTTTTCCTATAGTAACTCATTAATATATTATACTCACTAAGAAAATAAGACTGGTCTTCCAGTTTTTAAATAGCAAATTAAATATAAGTTAAATTATTTTACTGTGTGACCTGGCAAAAGTCACTTTATTTTTCTCGGGCTCATTGTACTCATATGTAAAACAAGATTAAACTAAGTATCTAAGGGCTCCATTTATTTGTGAAGTACTAAGTGAATACTCCATTGCTACTAACAGATCTACAATAATACTTTAAAAAAATATATATGTATTTTTTTATTGATTTTTTACAGAGAGGAAGAGAGAGGGATAGAGAGTTAGAAACATCGATGAGAGAGAATCATCGATCAGCTGCCTCTTGCACAACCCCTACTGGGGATGTGCCCGCAACCAAGGTACATGTCCTTGACCAGAATTGAACCTGGGACCTTTCAGTCTGCAGGCCGACGCTCTATCCACTGAGCCAAACCGGTTTCGGCTACAATAATACTTAAATGGGATGAAAAGACTACTAGCAAGACATGAAGAATCTGAAGTCAGTACAGATCCCATCACTAAAAACCTGACTAAACCTAGACTCCTTCCTTTCCAAAAGTAGATAATCTCACTCATATCTGAGTGCCCAATGCAAAGTTCAAAGTCTAAACTACTAGTCAAAAGTTGGAGAGGAGTTTAGATCCAAGCTCTGCTATAATGGCTTCCAGGACTAAGTCATGTGGGTGGCTAAAGTACTATTGAGTCATGGCACAATTACATGGTTGGAATGAGAGAGAGAGAGAGAGAGAGAGAGAGAGAGAGAGAGAGAGAGAGAGAGACAGACAGACAGACAGACTGTACTCTTCAGGTTCCCTGATGCTGATTTTTCCAGAGTAAGTAGATGATCTTGAGCAAAAATCCTGACTTGGCACTAGTCACTGAGGTAGAGAGCAATGGGAAGCACATTAAGTAACATTGAAAAGGAACTCTGAAAAGGGGAAATAAGGACGGGAATGAAAGTTTCTTAATATATTCCTCTAGTACATATCTACACTGTTGTATTAGCTTGAGAAAACTTTCCAGAGCTTATGCAATTACAGAATTTTCCAAAATATGATAAAAATAGTGATTCGACCTTTAGTGAAACCTGGGAAAGGTTCAATACCCATTGCCAATGAAGTCCAGGTTTCTTAGAGCTAGACTATAAAAGTAGTCTTAATTATAGAGGTTTTAGTTTTAAGCTTGGAAAACAAAACAAAAGAACTGGCCTAATGTGGAAATAACACTGGCTTTGAAATCAGATAAAACTGGGTTTGATTCCTGGCTTTACCACTTACCAACTGACCTACCTCTGGCAAATTTTAAAACCCCACGAAGGCCAATATCTTTATTTGTAAAATAAGGATAATACAACTCACCTGCAGGGCTATTGTGAGGATTAGCAAATATATGTAAAGCGCCTAGCATTATGCGTATCATAGGTGTTTAGCAAATGCTATCAGTGATAGTGTCTTCCTCCCCCATTACTCAAAATAATAAGCAGCAATTCTGTGTATGACCTTCCTCCTGTCAACAGTGATAATCTATAATAATAAAAGTGTAATATGCTAAATAGACCTGACATCCTTCCAGACGACCTTCTGGATGAAGCCGGGGCTGTGAGGGAAGCCTGGGTCCTGGGTACCAGGGAAAGCCGGTGCCAGCAGCCAGAAAAATGAAGGCCTACTCTCATACGAATTTTGTGCACCAGGCCTCTAATCCTATATAATAAAAGGCCAATATGCAAATTAACCAAATGGCAGAACCAGTTGCTATGACTTGCATTGACCACCAGGGGACAGATGCTCTATGCAGGAGCTTCCCCTTGGTGGTTAGTGTGCTCCCACAGAGGGAGCGCCACTCAGCCAGAAGTTGAGTGCAGCAGTAGCTCTAAGGATGTCCAACTAACGCTTAGGAGAGTGGGTCTAAGCTGTCAGCTGAACATCCCCGAGTGCTCCCGCGCTGCGAGAGTGCAGGCTAGGCTGAGGGACCCCTCAAGTGCACAAATTTCGTGCACCAGGCTTCTAGTTAGTAAAATAAATAAAAGCATTGAAAATAACCAGAAATGAATCTAGAGCAGCCATGTGTGCATTAATTGGTTCTTGGTTAGGAAAGTGTTCCTTGAGTTCATCCCTAGGCTATTTCTTTCTCAGACAAAAAGACAAGCCTGCAGGAGTCTCTCTCTTCTAATTTCTATTTCTACTCTTCCAGAGGCTTAGCTTTTTGTCTAGGCAAGAGGTAGACTGGAGATAGAGCAGAAGTTCTATCCTGTCTCTGAATTATTTTAAATGTATACACAGGTGGGTCTTGGGAGACCTGTTTTTCCTCTCTGATTTTCTCATATTGGCCTACATCTGACTTGAAGACGTAACAACCCTATATATAATTTTTAAACTCTGGAAGAATTTAAAAACTGGCATGTTTTGATATCCATTTAAAATAAAAGGGTCAAGAAAGAAAAACAAAAACAAAAAAATAAATAAATAAAAGGGTCAAAGCAGGCAGTTGGTTTTTTGAGCAATTAACTATGGAACACCCAGATCTCCATGGTTCAAAGGGGTATATTTTAATAGCAGCAGTAGCAGCTGCTACTTAACATCAACAAAGTATTTACTGGGCCAGGCACCAAGCTATGTGCTTTACATAAATTATTTCATTTAAATGTCACAGTAACCTTATGAAGGATTATTATTTTTCCCATGTTAGAGATGTGGAAACTAGAACTTAGGAACAGTAAAAACCTTGCCCAATTTTCAAGATTAGTAAGTGGCAGAACAAGAATTTGAATGTAAGACTTAAATATAATATGGTACAAAGGACCAGGTGTTTTATTTTGAGTCTACTTGAATATTTGTTAGATTGCTCATTGCTTTATATATTGTCTTCTAAATATATTAAAGAATACATAAAACAATGAATTAAGAATGGTAATGTATTTGTTTTTAGAACTCCCTTTCTCTTTCACCCCTCCCCTTCTTTTCCTTTCCCTCTCCTTTCCTTTTCTCACAAAGTCTTAAGTCTGAATTAAAGGATAGAAGAGTCAAGATAACAGACAGGATTGAATTACTGACTAGAGTTTTCACTATGTGAAAGAGTTTGCTACTGTAACTCTTTACTCATCTTACTGATTCACATGAATAATTTTTTAAAACTGTTTTTGCCTTCTTTTTTTTTTTTAATTTTCAACATTTAAAAAAAAGATATTTTATTGATTTTTTTTTACAGAGAGGAAGAGAGAGGGATAGTTAGAAACATCGATGAGAGAGAATCATCTATCAGCTGCTTCTTGCACACCCCCTACTGGGGATGTGCCTGCAACCAAGGCACATGCCCTTGACCGTGGAATCGAATCTGGGACCCTTCAGTCCACAGGCTGATGCTCTATCCACTGAGCCAAACCTGTTTCAGCCACATGAATAATTTATTCAGGCCCTGAGATTATCTCATAAAAGCAAACTTTTAAAAAATCACTTAAAAAAAAAAAAGGTGAAAGGGACCTTAAAAGATAGCCTGGTTCAACCTTTGATATAGTAGAATTACTGAGGATTCCTTCTCATTAGGAACTGTAACAAAGCCAGAACAAACATCTTTCAAGGCCTAACCCAACCTGTGGCTCCCATGATATTAGCTCTCAATCAGTATCAGTGAGGTGGTTTGTCTCTGGTTGACAAACTTTGGATCTGATTAAGTACTGCATGGTAGACATTATTTTCTAACTGCATGTGATGGAAACAAGAGGAAAAGACACACAATTTGAAGATCAACTAAGAATAGTCTAATATGAATACAGAGTGTAATATGAAACAAAAAAGCTATTAGCTTCTACCTTTAGCACAGATTATAACTCAAAGCATTTAGCCCTCTGAGAATTCCCTAACTATTGCAGAACCATTTCACATGTTTAAGTTCATTCCCATTCAAATGTTTGCCAATCAGAGTAAAGGTAACAGACATGCTTATCTGAATTTATTTCCAGTCTAATCTTTATACACCAACTTCCAGGATAAATGTGTTTAAGCCCCAATAGCTACAGGTTCATTATATTTTGGACGAGCTATGTCTTTGATTTATACAGAGTTGGGGGTTATAACAAGTCTTTTGAATTCAATGTAGTATACAAACAGGCTGCAATGATTTGTGATTTTGTAATTATAAATAAATAGGTGAAATGCCTCAGAAACTTTGAACTTCATTTGAAAGTCTTACACTAGAATGGAAGACTGGAGAGCTACAGTAATCATTACCTCTCAACTACAATGCTTCACTGGTGTGTAACCTTGGGAGTTATTTAATTTTGCTGTGTCTGTCATTTGCATTCTATGATAGGAACTCATGCAGACATCATATTACATATCTAAAGTGCTCTGGACATTGCAGAGAAACACACTCTAATTAAAGATCTTTAAAAGCCAGTCTCCGCGTATGCCCCCCTCCCCCACACACACCCTCCGCAATAGCCCAAGAAAAGGGAACCCCAAACTTAAATAATTTCAGATTTTAATTCCATATTAACTTACCTATATCGCTCTTCCTGCAAGGCCTGCATTATTAATGAATAGTCCCTCTGATAATGTTCCTTGAGGGTCTCAAAGGATTCCTCTAGCCTGGCCTGGGTTTCTCGGATCTCCTGGATCTCATGTAATAGTGCATCAAATCCTGAGCTCTGCATGTCCAGAGTGTTTGTTTTGGAGCTAGATGCTCCTATAGCGATGCCTCCAGTGGTGCTGTTGGCTCCTACTGAGCCTGAAGTGGCACTAGAACAATCTTCTTCACTACCATATTTTGGGCTCGACTGAAAGTTTGAAATCACTCCCAAAGCCTTCCCATCATCCACCTGACCTTCTTCTAAAGAGTCCTTCAGGTTAGGGATGTTGTCTGCACTGCCAAATTTATTCCGAATTAATGAAGCGATCTCTCTGGGCTTTGAGACCACTGCCCCTGCTGCTGAATGAGTTGCCTGGGAGAAGCTGGAAAGTCCACCTTTGACACTGTCTACCACACCTTCACTGAAGCCAGTCACCTTCGCTCCCACATCCTTCAAACCCTGGTGCATGTCCCTGAAAACATCCTTTGGCTGCCGAGGGATCCCATTCTGCTCCACTTCTCGGAGCTTCCTATGGTAATGCTCAAGCTTCTTTTGTAGCTGGAGGATGGTTTGGGCAGATTTCTGGTTCTTCTTCTCGAAGACCTGCTTGATGCGAGCAGCCTGCTGCTTATCTGCGCTGTTGGCAAGCTTTAAATACTCAGCAACATTGTCATCCCGGGCTGTTTGTGCAATCTTGATTTGTTCAGTGAGCTTCAGGATCTTCTGCTGCAGGTGAGCGATAGCAGCCTTTGTACGCTGAGGGTCTGGTGTTCCATCCACAGAGTCTGTGTGGATGCTGCCATCAGTACTGGAGGCCACTGCACTGGAAGTCTGGGCGAGGCTGCTTACTTCCAACCGCTCGATCTAGCATCAAAGCAAAAAGTGGATGTTAAAAGGAGCCCCAAAGAAGACTACTTTTCCAGAATCAACAGGCCAATCAAGTATACTTTGCTTTAAGCAAAACAAATAAATTAAAAAAGATTTCCATAAAATGTAAACCGGGGTATTTTCCCTTTGTTAGAAGATTTAGCACGGTATATCTTTTTTTTTTTTTTTTTTTTAATATATTTTATTGATTTTTCTACAGAGAGGAAGGGAGAGGGATAGGGAGTTAGAAACATCGATGAGAGAGAATCATCGATCAGCTGCCTCCTGCACACCTCCTACTGGGAATGTACCCAAAACCAAGGGACATGCCCTTGACTGGAATTGAACCTGGGACAATTGAGTCCAAAGGCCGACGCTCTATCCACTGAGCCAAACCGGTTAGGGCATGGTATATCATGAAATAATAAAGCTCCTTAGTGGGTTTAAAGTAGGGGTGTCGAACTCAATCAGAGAAGGGGCCAAAATCTAAAATCCAGCCTAAATCGCGGGCAGAATCGTTTACTGAACAGTCATAAACTGTCATTGTGATGGAAACGCAGCGGAGTGCAGTGATGACAGCGCGGTGCGGGCCACATTGCAAGGCCTGGCGGGACGGATTTGGCCCGCGGGCCTTGTGTTTGACACATGTGGTTTAAAGCATAAGTTAATTTACATTCTTCACACATACTTTTGTTTAAAAGCATATCTATGTAAAACAAGGTACATCTGCATTTCAATTTAATTATATAAAAGTCATTTTAGTATTCAGACATCACAGTAATTCCAATCCATGTTCAAAGATTACAGTCATCTGAAATGTTGGTGAGAACAAGTATTTTACTGGCTAGATAAAAAATTCAATTTTTATCACAGTATTTTTTTTGTTGTTCAAATAATGTCATGGGCAATGGAATCATTCTTTCCATTTTAATAGGGACACTTATTGGTAGCTGGAGACAGGTGCAGGTAAGATTGAGAAGTACTGCTGAAAGTGGTAAGGATGAATGTGTATACTCTTGAGAGAGAAAATTCCAAGACATAAGCAACTGTGATAAACTTGGGCAACATTATGTGACTATTAGAGACAGGCACAGTAAGGTAAGTAATTTAAAAAGTCAGTGACTAAGTTCAGACCTTTTGGAGGCCAAATTCTATGAGTTCTAACCAGGAAACAATTTTTATTAGGCAAGAGACTCCAAAACACACACACAATGACTATACTTTCATACAGGTAAGCAACCATTAAAAAGAGCTGAAGAAAAAGATAAGCTGCTCAGATCTGAAAACTTAAACTATCATACTTCAAAACTGTTAGCCAAAGCAGTGGATAGATTAGTTTATCTAACTCAGGAGAAAAAAGTCTTTTAAAAAGGTAACACTGGATATGGCTTGTGGTGGTGAATTAGTGTAGGGCCTGTGCAGAAAGGTTTTAGAAACTATTCTCTATTGAACAATAACAGAAATACACAATTAAATAAACATTCCAGGTAATAAAATTCCCAGTAAGCATGTCAAATTACAAATTTACCATCTTGGAGACTTGAGAGCACACCCTTTTCCTTGCTTCCCATCCCTAATCTGTCATCATCAGCAATTTGCTAGGAAGAACTGTATATAGGTACTTTCATATTAAAAAAGGTTGAATTACATTTTTGTGATGACAATAATAAACCAATTCTGAAATGCTCATAATAATTAACTTGCCAGTCCAGACATGCATTCCCTCTCTCTTTTTTTAAATCTTGGTTGCATCTCTTAGTTTGCCTTCTGAACAGAATTTATGATGATTTCTGCCAAACCGGTTTGGCTCAGTGGATAGAGCATCGGCCTGTGGACCGAAAGATCCCAGATTCGATTCCGGTCAAGGGCATTTACCTTGGTTAGGGGTACATCCCTAGTAGGCGTTGTGCAAGAGGCAGCTGATCGATGTTTCTCTCTCATTGATGTTTCTAACTCTCTATCCCTCTCTCTTGCTCTCTGTAAAAAATCAATAAAATATAAATATTTTTAAAAAGAATCTATGCTAATTTCTAACTCTAAAACACACTGAGTTCATTAATGAATTCAATATATTACCATTGATATGAATAAAACAATATTATTTTTTTCTAGATGAACACAAAAGAAATATTGTGCCTTTATTTATTTATTTTTTTAATCATTTATTTATTTATTTTTACATATTTTATTGTTTTTTTTGCCCCCCTCCCTTTATTTATTTTTTAAAAATATATATTTTATTGATTTTTTACAGAGAGGAAGAGAGAGGGATAGAGAGCTAGAAACATCGGTGAGAATCATTGAGCAGCTGCCTCTTGCACACCCCCTACTGGGGGTGTGCCCGCAACCAAGATACATGCCCTTGATCGGAATCGAACCTGGGACCTTTCAGTCCGCAGGCCAACGCTCTATCCACTGAACCAAACCAGTTTCGGCTTATTGTGCCTTTAAATAAAATCAAAAGATAATTTAAAATAAAAATGAATAATAAAATGACATTATACTTCACTAATAAAAAAACACACCATCCAGAATAGTTAGGGGCTAGTGCAATAACTATTTTTTTCCTTTTTATTTCTTCGTCTTCTCTCTCTCTCTCTCTCTCTCTTTTTTTTTTTTTTTTTTTTTTTTTTTTTACAATAACTGTTTTGTATTGCTTCCTCCATCTGCCCTATTCATCTTTTAGGTACTGCTAACTAGCAGTGTAAAGACCAGAGGAAGGTAGCAGAAAGGAGGATGATGAGCCAAAGTTCCAGATAATCAAGTTGCCAAGAGTTTCAACTCTTCAGTGCCTTAGGTTCACTCTCTTAGGTTGTACAGGATTCCCACTGTGTGATTTTCTTTCTGAATGGGATTTCAGGTCCCATAATTACAGTATGTAATATTGATACCATTGTAATTAACTAGTTATTAATAACTAGAGGCCCGGTACACGGGGAGGGGGGGAAGGAAAGGGAGGAGGTTCCCTCAGCAAGGCCTGTGCCTTCTCCCAGCTTGGGACCCCTCGGCGGACATCCCTTGAGGGGTCTTTAGCAGTGCCACAGAGCCATGCGCCTGGCTTAGTGCTTAGAGGTGGGTCCTTAGTGCTCGTCAGCTGTGAGCCTGGCTCCCTGTAGGAGCACACTGACCACCAGGGGACAGCTCCTGTGTTGAGCGTTTCCCCTGATGGTCAGTGCGCATCATGGTGATCAGTCGTTCTGCCGTTCCATTGATTTGCATATTAGCCTTTTATTATATAGGACAGGAAAGGAGCAAAGGGAAGGTCAAGTATTATAGGCATGTTTCCCACAAAACACTGGGGGAAGGAGATTGGACAAAGGGAAGATAGTCACATGCCCAGTAAAGTTGGGATAACATAGGGAAGATACTTGACTGTCAATCACATCTGGGGACAGAGATAGTTGGCCAGAATAGGGGTGGCAACTGCAAGCAAAATTTGGATACTTAATTCCCTGAACAAAGAAACTTGCTCTCTTGTGCTCTTGGCTCTTTGGGACTCCTGTGACTCTGGGCTATGGGGCTCTTTTGTTCCTGCTCCCTTGCATTCCCCCCACATGGTCCATGGCCATGTGGACCCCATACACAATGGACAAATAGACTGCACTTAGCCTGACTCCAACATGGAAAGGAAACTCTAGACACTGGCTTTGCTTCTAGCTTTACTGAAACCCTAGCTATACTTCTTCTATGCTTAAATTAAGAGAAATGGGGCTTTGGAAACCAAGGGGTATAATTTCAAGGAAATAAAGCTTTCTATCATATCTCACCCTCTCATGAGGGCCTCCAGAAATGTTTATTTCAGCGGTACTCCGAGAACCCTACTCCACTGATAAAAGATATTATGACCCTGCTATGTACATATGTTTAATAGCTCAAAATCTACCACAATATAAAAGGGAAGCAAATACAAAATATAATTTGATCCAAGACTACCAGCGTAGGTATGGTTTTGTTTTCTTAGGTTGTTGTTCATTTGAATATCAATTTATATGTAATCTGTTGTCTAAAGAAATACAGATATGGAAATCAAGTTTAACTATTACTCTGGTAGGATAAAAATTTACTATACTGGTGAAAATATGGCTTTGAGATTAGAATCTTTATTTACATATATATATTTTTATTGTGTTTGTTTTTTGTTTTTTTTGTGTTTGTTTTTTTTTTACAGAGAGGAAGGGAGAGGGATAGAGAGCTAGAAACATCGATGAGAGAGAAACCGATCAGCTGCCTCCTGCACACCCCCCACTGGGCATGTGCCTGCAATCAAGGTACATGCCCTTCACCAGAACTGAACGTGGGACCCTTCACTCCACAGGCCAACCCTTTATCCACAGAGCCAAACCAGTTAGGGGAAGAGATTAGAATCTTTAGAACTGGAAAAAAACAAACAAACAAACAGGCAAAATGAACAAACTTTAAATAAAATTATTTACAAATGATCAATTGAGATGTGAGCTGTTTTCGCTACACAGTAACTAAAGAAATAAACGAGGCTTTAATCGGACTTCTTTCCTACCTGGGCTATGTCCTTCCAGTGCATGACTCCCCTGCAAGAGCTCAGCTGACAGAACCCAGTCCTCAGCTTCCAAATAAAACTAACCCACAGCTTCAGCAGGAAGATAGTTTTAACACCTGAAACCATGAGTCACTGGATTACTCACTAACTACTCCCAATTTTGGCAGGCACTATCCTCAAAAAAGGAAGGAGAGAAAAGAGAAACTGGGAGCAGAAGGGAGTGGAAGGGAGAATGGAGGACAGAGGGGCAGGAGTGGAGGAGGAAGGAGGAAGATACTGAACTGTAGAATTATAGGTCAGCTGAGAACAAAGACCTTAGAGATACAAATACTTAGCACCGGAAGTGCCTGACTTAGCAGTGAGTTAACAAGATACCAACTGAAAAGTGATTCTTTTTTCCAACAGCCTTTGCTAGCATATTTGGTTATCCATATTGTGGGGGCTAAGCTAAAAAAAATAATTTTCCTCTCACCTAAGTTCT